GGGGAGGTGACGATTGTACACGTGTGCACAGGGGAGGTGATGATTGATTGTACACGTGTGCACAGGGAAGGTGAGGGATGAGAGTACACTTTTAAAGGAGGTAGCATGGGGAATGACAGCATGTGTGTGCTGGGAAGGCGACAGTGTGGTGTGGGTGTGTGTACACAGGGAAGGTGATGTGTAGGTTGAGGGTATCAGAGGCAATGGTACATGTATGTAGGGAGAGTTGTATAGGGGTACATGTGTGGGGGTGATGGCACGTGTGCTCCTGTGCGTGTATAAGGTAAACCACCTGCTATATCATATACCTTCAGAGTCCTGGGGAATCAGCTTCCCTGAGCCCACTGAGTCCCCAGCTACAGCAGGTTTAGAGTGAAGGCCACATCACGAGGAGTGGACCTGGGAAGGCCCCGAGAGCCCCTCTGCTGCACGCCATGAAACTTCCTGTCAGGTGCCCACTGGAGCCCAGGCTCCCCACCCACACCACCATATTACATCATTATCCTACACGGGAAGCTGCCTCTGATTGACTCTGTCAACGCCTTCTGGAAAGGGGAAACAGGGCTCAGGCCCTGGGAAAGATCCCAGAATGTGCAGGCTGCTGGGGTGTCCAGTGGGGCCCAGGTGCTTACTTGCGGATGCTCTGGGACAGGGAGGCCTGACGGCGGAAGCCGGGGCGTTTCTCGGTGCCATCCTGCCATCGTCCTCGGGGTTCCTGGAGGCTGACACTCTTCAGGTAGGCTGGGTTCTTAGGTCTCTGTGGGGCAGCGAGGGGGCACACGCTGAGTGCATAGCCTGTTCCCTTCTTTTTATTGCAGTGTTGGGGACAGAACCCAGACCCTTTAACATGCTAGGCCACTTTAACACTAGACCACTGACCTGCACCCCGTCCCTCTGCAAGGGCTTCATTCTGAACTTAAGATCAACATTTTCTAGTGTTTTCTAGCAAGGTCTGGGGATCTAGCTCAAGTTGGCAGAATGCTTGCCCAGCACACATAAAGCCCTGGGTTCGAGTCCCAGCACTGCATACACCAGGTGTAGTGGTGAACACATGCAACCCTGGCACCCAGGAAGTAGAGGCAAAAAGATCAGAAGTTCAAGGTTACTGTTGACTACTTAGCAAGCTCCAGGCTAACCTGGGCTACATGAGACACTGTCTCAAAAAAATAAAGGCACAATGTTTTCCAGTGAACCCCAGCAAATCCTCCCTATACATGATCTGCCCATGATGTGGGATGGGTTCGCCTCTTTTCACGTGTCCTACAGAGCCCTCAGGGTGAGCGGGCGGCCCCAACATAGCTCTTCTTTATGTCCCAGGCTGTGTGCAAAGCCCACGCTATCTGGGGCCTGTTCTCAAAGAGCTCTTTATAGGACAGGAGTCCAGATGGATAGAAACACTGACCCATCCCCCCCAAGAGTCAGGCGCTACAGGGGTGGGTTGCTGGCACTGTGGGACCCTGCACCCACTCAGGTCACCAGACAGCCCACACCCCCTCAGAAGAGGCCAGTCAGGGCCAGAGAGGGGGAAATTATAAACAGCCAGAGCCTAGGCAAGTCTTCGGACACTGCACCCTGTCCCTTGGCCACCAGGCGATAAAGCACTCAACGTTTCAGAGTTCAAAGCCTCACTCCCTACAGTATTTCAGCTCCACGTCGAGGCTGCAGGGTTGCCAGTGGACTGTGATGGACGGGTGCTGCGTGGGTGGGCACATCTGTTGCCTGCGGCTGTGCTCCAGCCTCTCACCTCAGGAAGCATGCTATCCCGCTCACTGGGGGTCTGGGCCTCAGGCGGCGGGATAGTGATGGATAGGTTGGGGGGCTTCCGGCTCTGCAGGCGGCTACCGGACACAGAAGAGAGGTTGCTGCCATCCTTGTCAGCGGAGGCCATGATGCTAGAAGAGAAACGAGGAGATCAGCACAGAGCTGGCAGGACTAGGGTGGGATGTGGGTGCAGCGTCAATTCTAATTGGTCTTCAGAATAAAAACCCAGAGTCAGATATAGGGGCTAATGCTGAAGGATCAGAGAAGCAGAGCAGCCAGCTACCAGTTCTTACCACTACCGAATCCTCAGATCAAATGGGGTGTCCTATCTCTACAAGTCCTCAGACTGAAGGCCATGTCTATGAAACCCCAGCCTGAATCCTGAGCTCCCGTCTCCTCCCGCCTTATATTCCTCTCTCCGGCCAGCCATATCACTCCCTGTCTCTACCTCCCTAATGCTGGGATTGATGTTGTGAGCCACCACTCCTTGGCTCTGTTTCTCTTTTAGACTGATTCAAACTCGTGGAGCCCAGGGTGGTCTTGAACTCACAGAGATCCATCTGCCTCTTTCTCCCAAGAGCAGGGATTAAAGGTGTGTGCCACCACTGCCTGGCCTCGATGCTAACTGGCAGGGCTAGCTCCGCACTCTGATCTTCAGGCAAGCTTTCTTTCTTAAAGCACAAACAAAGTATCACCAGACTTGGGGATCTTAGAACCAGGGAAGGCAGCTCAGGACCAGACCAACCGGTCCCACATGGCCTCAGACCAAGCACCAGAGAGATGTGGCTAGGCTGCACCTGGGCCGGGTGGAGGAACTTGGGGTCTATTTCTGACTTTCATTTGCACTTCTGACCAAGGTGGGGAGGACCTTGGCCCAACCTTAGTCCCTTTCTGACCTCTCAGCTTCAGAGCAGAGAGATAAGAAGTGGGTGTGGTCAGAGCAGGTCAGGGGCCTTAGGGTGGGCGTGGACAAAGGGTCCTTCCTTGGTCTCTGGCGGGATGTTCAACAGACAGGAACGCTCCAGACAACCAAGCACCCCGAGCTGCCAACTGGTGCTCTCAGCGCTGCTGGGCCAGCACCAGCTGCCGCCACCGGGGGTCAACTATGCAGGGCAGGTGCTTCTCCTGGGGAAGCACAGGAAGTGGTAAGAGAAACCCACCATTCGGGTCCCTGTCTCCCAAGGCTGCCTATTTTCTCCTCAGAGTTAAGTGAAAGCTGCTTATAGTGGGGGGCACATATAATCTCAGATGCTTGGGAGGCTGAGGGAGGAATAGCATTTGGGCACAGGAGTTAAAGGTCAGACTCAGCAACATAACGTGCTTCTGTGTAGTTAGTACAAGCCCGTAATCCCCGTGCTTGGAAGACTGAGGAGAGAATATTGTGAGTTTGAGAATAGCCTGGACTAGGTCAGCCTGGGATATATCTGTTAGAAAAAAAGAAAAGAGAAAGATAATGGAAACCTGCTACTGCCCCGGTATTTCTCATTTTTCTTTTTCCTTTAGGAGAGGGTTTCATCTCAGGCTAGCCTTGAACTTGCTGTGTTTCTAAGGGCAATGTGAACTCCTAAATATCCTGCCTCTCCCTCCCATGTGCTGGGATTACAGGCGTGTGCCCTGTGTCTGGCATATAAGGTGCCAGGGATCAAGCACAGGCTCCATGCATGCTAGCCAAGCACTCTCCCAAAAGAGTCACATCCCCAGCCCTGGTGTTTCTCTTTTCACAGCGGAGGAACATTTTAACAATAAAGGTGATTCACAATCGCTGAACAAAAAGACTGAGCACAGCAAAGCCGAAAATTCTTAAAGCAGCCGAGGCTCTCAGGTCTGGTGCGAACCCCTTTCCCTTGGGAACACACAAATTACCGCCTTTGCTTTCTTTGAGGACAGAAAAGCCCTCACTAAATGGCACACCGAGACTCAATTCCTGATGAATGGCTACACAGGATGTTTAGTGTTGATCACGTGTGGGTATGTTAGAGTATTAAAGACGAAGTGCTACATGCAGGAGGCTAGCAGGAAGAACAAGGGTGCTGAGGATTCCAATGGATCTGGACAAGTGGTCCCGTAAAAAGGAGGTGGTCGCTCACCATGTTAGGGAACTTGTCACTGCTTGGGCTGGGCTACTGAGCCCCGTTCCCCTTTGATGACTCCAAGATGAGGCACCCGCTGTCTGCTTCTGCCCCTGCAGCTCTGGGATGTTCAGTAGGAGGCAACAATGGGCAAGGTGTAGAGGGCAGTGCTCGGTAGCCACCGCATGGGGCCCCAGTGTCCAGCTCTTACTAGCTTTTACTTTATTTCCTAATTTATTTTATGTATGTGAGTGTTTGGCTTGCATGTATGTTAGTGTCCATTATATACACCTGGTGCCTATGGAGGCCAGAAGAAGGCAATGGAGCCCCTGAAACCAGAGTCGCGGATAGTTACAAGCCACAACATGGGTGCTGGGAATCACACCGGGTCCTCTGAAAGAACAAATGCTCTTAACTGCTGAGCCATCTCTCTGGACCCCTAGCTCGAGCCATCTTTACCCTTCTCCACAGCCTGCTCTCACCTGAAAGAGCCCACCAGTCTCCCCACCCTTCCAATGGACCTATCTCCAATGACAAAATCATGTCTGTCTCTTTGTTTGGTTCCAAGATCCCATTCTTCAAGACCAAGCTCCTCCATGCGACCTCCAGGCCCAAATTGTTCCCCCCTTCCCACCAGCTTTGTTCTGACTGTGCCACTCTGGCTCCTCAACTGGAGATGGGTGCCCCCAGCTTGACCTACAAGTGGTCTTGATTTGCCTCAACAAGAGCGCCAAACCACTGCCACCCAGGCTTACACTTGTGTAAGAAAAAGAACAATACATTCTCCCTATTTTGACCCCCAAAACATCCCTCAAACGCCATCCCCAGATACCATGCAAGAACATCCACAGTAGTGAATTCACCAGAGCTAAAAGGTGACAGCCACCAAATGCCCATCAATGGAGGACTGGGCTGACAGATGGTGCAGATCCAGAACAACATCCTCATCCTAACACCGGCTCAACACAAGTAGGACCTAGATGCTAAGCCAGGCTGTGACCTTGAGAGCATCATCTAAGACAGCACTCACAAATCTGCAATCCCAGCACTCAGCAGGCAGAGGCAGGAGGATTCTGAGTTAGCGCCAAGGCTGCAGAAGGCTCAGAGGTGACGGCGCTTGCCATCAAACCTGACAACATGAGTCTGACCTACAGAACCCAACACTGTGGAAGGAGAGAATCGTCTCTTGTATAAGTTGCCCTTTGACCTCCATAGTACACTGTGGTATCTGTACCACATAAATCTAAATATGCACAAAATAAACAAATCATTGTGGAAAATTTGAGAGCTGGAGGCATAGTCTGGGCCACACAGAGGATTCAAGGGACTGGATACACGAGATTGCACTGGAAGAAAAAGAGAAGGAGAAAGAGAGAGACCAGACAGATGGCTCAGTGGTTAAGAACACAGGCTGCTTTTCCAGAAGGTCTGAGCTCAGTTCCCAGCACCACATCAGGTGGCTCACAATAGCCTACATCTCCAGTTCCAGGCGACCAGATGCCTTCTGACTTCCACAGGCACCTGCACACACAGAATACACACAGCACACATCAATAAAAATAAAAATTAAAAAAGTCGGGCATGGTGGTATGTGTCTGTAATTCCAACATTTGGGAGACTGAGACAGGAGGATTGCTTTGAGATCAAGGCTAGCCAGGGCTACATAGCAAAGGCCTGTTTCAAAATAGACAACAGGAAAAGAAAACCACACAGAGCTAGAGATACAGTCAAGTATACCAGACTTGCACCTGGCGAGGTCCTGGGTTCCACAGATGCTGGGCCTCTGCCTGCATAGGTCACTCTGGTCTACGATCATTACAGGGCCATGGCAGAGAGGACCTCCTAGTTTAGCCTGGTTGTCACTTCCTCAGAGAGGCTTTCCCTGCCTGCCTGAGCAGCCCCCAGCCACGTCTCTGAGGCCACAACCTGGCCTCCACCCAGCCGCCACCCGGCCACCAGCTTCCTACCTGTAGATACGTGTGAGCCTTGCTTCCTATGCTCTTGGAGTGTGTCTTACATCATGTTCCTCTCCTTCCCTCGCTCTACGAATGCTCCTGGGTTGCGGTGGACAGATGGAAGGACAGATGGCTGCCTTAGCAGCCAACCTGTGAGAACAGAGGGCTGGTTAGAGAAGGGAGGCCAACCTCCAAATCGCCCCATTTTCCTGACCTCACCCATCTCCCACAGGAGGGGCAGAAGGAGACATAGTGAGGACCCTTCACAGTGCTGGTCCAGCCCAGGTCCACGTGGCCACTGAACTTGGGGTATTAATCTACCACCACTCACACACAAGGTCTGGTCCAGGGCTTCACTGGAGCCAGGCATTCTGTTTTTAATATTACTTTAAATGACAAGGTCTCATGCAGTCTAGGTTGGTCTTGAACTTGCTGTGTAGCTGAGGATGACCTTGAACTCCCGATCTTTCTGCTCTCTAAGTGCTGAGATCATAGGTGTGTGCCACTACTCCCAGCCCACTAGGACTTTAATAGAAATATTCAATTCACAAGTCCAGGAATTGATGGCTTTAAAAAAAATTTAATTTAATCTCTTCTTCCATTGTTGGTGCCAGGGATCAAACTCAGGACATCAGGCTTGTATGGCAAGTGCTGCTGAAAAACATGTGTGTGGGTGTTTTGCCTGCATGTATGCCTGTGCACCACATGCACACCTGGTGGCCGCACAGGCTGGAAGAGGACTTTGGATCCTCTGGACCTGGAGTTACAGATGGCTGAGAGTCACCATGTGAGTGCTGGGAATGGAACCCCTGAGCCATGTCTCCAACCCCAGTGGAATCTACCGAACCCTGTCTTCTGACTAAGACTGACTTTCTGGGGTGGGGAGATGGGTTCAGTCCTGAAGTGCTTTCCATACGAGCGTGGAGACTTGAGCTGGGCATGGGAGCATGGACGTGTCCTCCCAGCCCTGGGTCAATGGAAGCAGGAAGAGATGCATGGGGCTTGCTGGCCAGCTAGCCTTGCCTACTTAGCCATGCTCCAAGGCAGTGAGAGACCTTATCTAAAAACAAAAAAGGTATATGGTCCCTGAGGAATGATGCCCAAGGTTGGTGTACATGGGAGGCACAGGCTCATCACATACATGCTCATCAAACACACACACACACACACACACACACACACACACACACACACACACACGGAACACTGGGCTAGGTCTGCGGCTAGAGATGACTTAATAGATAGTGTTTGTTGTGCAGGCGTGAAGAACCCAGGAAGAGCCAACAACAGCAGCGCCTGTAATCCCAGCATGCCTCCAGCGAGACAGGAGGTGGAGGCAGAGGCCCCTCAGAAGCCAGAGGGCCAGCTAGCCTGGTGGACACACAGCAGACAACAAAGAGACCCTGTCTCAAACAAGGCAGATGGTGAGGACTGACTGACATCCGAGGCTGTTTCCTGACCTCCACACATGTGCCAAGGCGGACACACCCTCATAAACACCCCCCCACACACACACAGGTGTGTACACATACAGGGAAAGGAAAGGGGCCGAAGCTGGAGCAGGATATCTTGGTCCCCTCCAGCACTGCAAATAAAAACAGATTTATTTTCCATCAGTCAGCCTGATACTAGGCCAGTGCTCAAGCGACGGGGACCTGTTCTGCTGTGGGTTTTTTTGTTTTGTTTTTTGTTTTTTGTTTTTAACTCATTGACTGACGTAAAATCCACGCAATGTAACATGAACTATTTGAAAGAAGGAGCCATGGCATCTGTGTTTCGGGAAGCCCTGTTCAGGCATGTAACATAAACAAGGCAGAGGAGCACAGCGGGCCCTCCCTGGAGTAAGCCCCAGGTGCTACTGGGAAATGTGAGTGTCTGGGCAAGGTTAGCACCACAGGGGGCAGGCCTGGCCTGGCCCTCCACGTACACTGTCCCTCAAACATCTTCTGATTTGTAGGTGGGCAGCGGTGGCTCCGAGGGGTTGATTAACTTACTCAAGCTTCCACAGCAGGGAAGGGGTACAGCTCAGATCCAAGTCCTCAGACAGGAGGTGAGAGAGGCTGCCTTCGGAACCTGGCAACCTCTTTTCCAAGGGTACACTTAGGGCTGGAAGCGCCTTATCATGGGGCCAGGGAGTCGTCTACAGACGGAGCCATGGTCTAGCATCCTAGCGATTTTATTTTGTTTTTTCAAGACAGGGTTTCTCTATGTAACAATCTTGGCTGTCCTGGAACTCACTCTGTAGACCAGGCTGGCCGCAAACTCGGAGATCCACCTGCCTCTGCCTCCCGAGTGCTGGGATTAAAGGTGTGCGCCACTTGGCTCCCTAGTGATTTTCAAACCATGATTGGCAGAGCTTTGTGCTGCCCAAGGCTACCATGGGTGAGCTGGAAGCAGGTGTTGGTCTAGGCCCCTCTCTGCTTCCACCTGCAGGGTCTTCTATGCTTTGTGTTCTGCACTGAGGCCTGCCAAACTCTCCACATCACAGACGTAGGGCACTGGGTGGGGGAGGGGCCTGAAGAACTGAGGCAGAGCTGGCCCAGGACATTGCTGCTTCTTAACCTGGGACCGAAGACCTCAGCTTTGGCTCCATCACCCCTAGGTGTCAATCACCCCAAGGGCTGTCCCACTGCCCTCTGAGATCACAGATGGAAGATGCTGGGGTTGGACTGGCAGACTCTGAGGAATACTGGCAGTCACAGGAGGACATTGCTCGCGGATAACTCCAGGACAACAGCCTCACCTGGGGCCTCTACACAGAAGCTCCTCGACTTGGCAATCGTCTGGGACCAGAGTGCAGGGAGAGGGCATCAGGCGGGCATTACCCTGGGGAACTGGCACCGATGGGGAGGGGCAGGCAGCAAGAGCGAGAGAGGTGGTAAAGGAGGCCACCGGCAGAGAAGCGTGAGAGCATCACGCGTGACTCTCTGGCTAGACCCTTCTGGAATGAGGGGCTGCAGGTACCTCCCGGGAGTCAGCACTCTAGGCATGACCCCATTCCGCCAGTCAGTCCGTGACACAGGCTCATGTCTGAATGCTTAGGTCCCAGCTGAACTTTCTGGGGAGGACTAGGAGGTGTGGCCTTGCTGAAGAGGGTGTTTTGCTGGGAATGGGCTTTAAAGGTTTCAAAAGTCTGCACCAGGCTCAGTTTCTCTGTCTCTCTGCCTGCTGCCAAACTCTCTGCCACAACGACCATTGACCAACCCTCTGAAACTGTAAGCTGACCCCAGCTAAATGCTTTCTTCTATACGCTGCCTGGGTCATGGTGTCTCTTCACAGCAACGGAACAGTTCTGAGACACCCTGCACCTCCTCCAAGCTCCCACACCCTGTATCCAAGGCCCTGCAGCCATATGCCTCCACCCAGTCCACTTGGCCAGCCCCTACTGCTTCCCCCCATACAATAATGTCATACAATATACCCCAACCATATTCACTTCTCCTTCCTTCCAGGTTAGCCTCTCTTCCTCCCCCCTCAAAAACAAACAAACAAACAAACAAACAAACAAACAAACCCCACCAAGTCTAATTTGTGTTGCCCATATCCTCACTGACGCATGGTAAAACTCCCAGTGGCCAGACCCTTAATAAAAACTGAGTCCTTCCCTACCTCCCAGCAGAAGCCATCAACTAGGAAGATTACACTTCAGCAGGCTCATAGAATTTTGCTTTCTTTTTTTGGTATTTTGAGACAGGGTTTTTCTATGTAACCAGACTGGCTGTCCTGGAACTTGCTCTGTAGACCAGGCTGACCTCAAACTCAGAGAGAGATCCACCTGCCTCTGCCTCCTGAGCGCCAGGATTAAAGATGTGCACCACCTCTGCCTAGCGAAATTTAAATTTATTTGGGTTATTAAAGCCTCTCTTCGGTAGCCTCATTTCTAGACTGCTTTGTGGGGGTTGACGCCACCAATGTCTGTCATTCTCAGTTATGAGTCAGCAGGCATTGAAACCACTGCAGAAGAAGCTCTTGTGCCCATACCGGCCGGGGCAGCACGGATCACGGACTTCCACATGGTTTCGGGTGGCTCGAGGATCACAGACATCAGTGTGGTTTTCGGTGACAACACGGAACACGGACACCAGCAGCAGCACAGTCCACGGAAGTCTTTTTTTTTTTTTTTTTTTTTTTTTGGTTTTTCGAGACAGGGTTTCCCTGTGTAACAGTCATGGCTGTCCTGGAACTCGCACTGTAGACCAGGCTGGCCTCAAGTTCACGGTGATCCGCCTGCATCTGCCTCCCAAGTGCTGGGATTAAAGGCATGTGCCACCACTGCCCCCATGGAAGACTTCTGAGGAGACCTAACCCAGAAAATGAATCGTTCACCGGACGGGTGGTGGCGCACGTCTCTAATCCCGCCTCTAATCCCAGCACTCGGGGAGGCAGAAGCGGGTAGATCTCTGTGAGTTCGAGGCCAGCCTGGTCTACAAGCTAGTTCCAGGACAGGCTCCAAAGCTATAGTGAAACCCTGTCTTGAAAACCAAAAAAAAAAAAAAAAAAAACCAAAAAAAAACCCGAACTGTTCTTCATCTCAGATATCTGGTTGCTCAGAATCAGGGCGATGGTGTGGTTGGGCAGCGTGTCCAGGGTGTCAGGACTTGTGTGACCTCTGGGCTGCAGTACAAGACCCTGCCCTGGGCGCTGGCAGCCCAGCCAGGACTCCGGGCACAAGTGTCGTGTTTCCCCCACGTGTGTCACCTCCAGGAAGCCTGCCTGGCCACCACCCTGCTCTCCCACAGCTCTGACTGACATCAGGAGTCTCCTGTGCCATTCTCACACCCAGTGCGCCCCCGTCCTCTGGGGAGGGTGGGAGTCTGCAGGTGGGGAAGAGGCCAGTCTGCATGGACGCTGGGCAGGCTCTGGGGGTCACTCGCCTTGCCCCATACCACTGCAGAGCTTGGACGGAGATTACTGGGTGCTGGCTGAGGATGGAGCCCAGTGGCGTGGTTCCCTGGTTAGCCATAAACACTTTTCCCTTATGAGGAGCTGCCTTCAGAGGCTAAGCCGCTCAAGCTGGAGACCCTCCCCATTACACGCAGGAGCCCTCCCATCCCTACGCCCCTGTGCTGCTATCTGGGCCAATCTCCAGATGAAAAAGGCAGACAAGACTATGACCACAGGGCAGGGGAAGTTCGCAACCTCTGGGACAATCTTAGGTCGCAGAGAAAGTCTGATAGCAGGGGCAGGGCTGGTGGTGAGTCCCCCGCCAGGAAAGTCTCGCTATCGCCTGCACCAAAGCCGTGAATGATGATCCATAAGTAGCTGAATCCCTTTGCCTCAGTTTCCCTTTCGGTCCACTGGCAGTGAAGCAAGGCGACAGCTCGTATCCAACCACGGGCAGCCCAGGTCATGAAGGTTTTCTCCACCACTTTCTCCCAGAACTTCTCCTGACCCCTCTGCCCCAGCTTGTGTAGAGGTGATCCTGGATCCCAGCCTTTCCCAGGACCGGGTGTGCTGGCAGCTGCCTGGCACAGTAGTGGGGCTGAGCAGACTCACTCTAGGTTCCCAACGTCCACGGCAGGCTACAGGGACAATTGCAGGAGCCGCCCCAGCAGCCACTTATCTCCCGCCCCCAGAAGCGCTTGCTCACTACAGAGGAAATTGTGACATCCTGGGAGCAGGCTTCCTCTTGCCCACAGTCATATCCGCTGAGCTCTCCAAGACCCCAGGCTTGCTGCTGCCCAGGGGTGGGGGTTGAAGGGGCCAAGGCTAGGGTTATGGCCTCTGCCACCTGCCCAAGTTGGATCCTGGTCTAACTTCTAAGGAGAAGCCTTCCCCACAAAAGAGTCTCTAGCCAGAGCCCCAGAGATGGTCTTGGATTAAATACCAGGGCGGAGGGTGGGTCAGTATTTCCTCTTCCCCTTAGAGTGTGGTATCCAGCAGGGCTGGGGGCAGGGCAGACAGAGAGGACAAATGCACAGCAACACTGAGATGCCCCGTGTGCCCTTGACAGATGGCTTCCACAGCCTCCACTAGGGTCAGCACGCTCTCCCTCCAGATAGCACCACGCAGTCAGCCAGCAGTGGCCTGGATCAGGCACACAGACACACAGACTCAGAAACTGCCCTGAATGCCCAGAGAATCCGGTTTCCCCACAAAGGGTGGGGCCCAGCCACTCCCAAACAAGGCAGGTCCAACCCAGGCACGGTAGGCAAGGTCACCCCCAGGGAGTGCTCCCCCAACCACACCAGGCAGGGTGCCCCTCCCTTACCAGGCAGGTGACATTGGTGCCACTGCCCTCCTACTCTGTTCCAGGAGAGGATCCACCTGTTCACAGGTCTGACCTGAGTCCCTTCCCCTAATCTCTACCTGCTCGCCATCAATGCGTGCTCCCCAGCGGGATTCTGGAGCCCCAGCACTCTTATTAATAATTTCCTACTCCCTTAAACTCTGTGGGCTCGAGGAGTCAGGGCATTAAGGTGGCTGGACAGCTATATCCCCAAAGGAGTGGGAGCCTGACGTAAGAGCCAAGGCCACAGATGGCCAGAAATGGAGAAGATCATTATTCACCATGGAATATGACCAAAGGAGAGGGTTACAAGTCACCTAAACAGGGGACTTGAGCAAACCACACCTGGCCCAGAAGCCACATCCAGCTCCGGGCCG